AAAGATTATATTGTGGAGAGTAACAGCATCTTCTTTTAAAGAATTACTGATATTAACTTTGAATGGGATTTCCTTTTTCCATGGGGGAAAGTTGAAATGAATGATCTTTTCTAATAAGGAAGGATCAAAATCCTTACTTATTGATTCTCTGATTCTATCGAGTTGAATTGGCTTGTATGGTTTTCTTTGGGGGGTGGGGATCACCTCCAAATCAGTTTGATATTGAGCTAATATTCCTTTTTCGATATTGATTGGATGATTTGGCGAAAGTTTGGCTAAACGGAACGCATATTGCCTGATATTTGAATCTAATCTGATATTTGAAGGGCTTAAAGCTGCTTTAGGAGTAGTAGTAATAGTAGTAGTAGTATTATTTTACATTAGGAGAGCAGCTTAGGGCTGCCCTCAGAACCTTCCTAGGGGTATGCAGATATTCTAAGCTATGGTTTTACAATATATGAAATGAGAGTGCCTTAGAAAGAAAAGTGAAAGTCTTACAGCTATTCCCGGTAATCATGTGTTACCTTCCAATTTGTGTATTCTCTTTTCCACTGATTGAGGTGGTTCTGCTATCTTGCCTGGTGTAGACAAGTATACCCCTGTTGTGGGCTTGTTGTTGCTTGCATTAGACGAATTAATGGGTTGCTTTTTGATATAGCAGTTTGAATGTTTATTATATTCTGGGAAGTGTTCTCAGATATGTTTTTACATATCTTATTGATATTCAATCAGGTTTTTTATATCTATTGATAGTTTTGTTTTTCTGTATACACTTTGCAAAGGGAATTGGTGACTTCGTTTATATCATACATTACAAATCGATCCTGATAGTAAATATATATTGTCGCAAGGTTTTTAGATTGTTTGTTTTAAATAAAATGTAGGCTTGTAGCTCTTTACTTTAGGCATATATCTTTATAGAACTTCGTGAGTTTTAGCAGTTTTGCGAAATCCGTAGGATTGCTTAAGATTTGACATAGGTATTGAATACCTTTCTCATTTATCAATAATGGTTTGAAGGGTTTGTTTGGTTATTAATCAAAGATGCCTCTTGCCTTCCGGCAATGTACCAGGTGGACAAAGGTTTTGGGCCTTTTGTATAAGCATTCCGTATCTCCTGAGTGTCCGAATTTCCTATGATATTAACCGAAATTCCTATATAAAGTTCGGATAGCTATCAGTTTGTGTAGAACTATTCGTGGGAGTAGGAGCTTTGGTAATAGTTTGATTTTGTATAACGTGGTTTATCAGTGTGTCGCGCATATCAGTGCCTCGCACACTTTTTCACTATTTTGCAACTCTTCAATTCAATACACGTTTAATCAACAATCAACAATGAATAACATTTCAAAAGAAGCTCGGATTATCTTAGTTATTGAAACTATTAATAAATCAAAAAAAATGAATCGCTGGAGTGCTGCTAAACTCTACAATGTCCCTGAAACAATATTTCGGAATCGAATGAACAGTTTAACCCCGCTACAGGAATGTTGATCACCAACTCAAAAATTAACTAAATTAGAAGAAGAAATGATTCTTCAATATATCCTCGATATAGATATACAAGGATTTGCCCCTCGATTGAATAGTATGGAAGATATAGCAAATGATATTCTCAATACTCGTAAAACACACCACATTGGAAAACTCTGGATGTATTGATTTGTACAACACCAGTCAGAATTAAAGATATGTTTTAATTGTGTTTATGATTTCCAAAGAGCTTTTTGCAAAGATCCAAAGCTTATTGAAGGGTGGTTTCGATTAGTATCGAATATGCAGGCGAAATATGGTATTCTCGATTACGATTTCTATAATTTCAACAAAACAGGCTTTATAATAAATATTATATACCCTAGAATGGTTATAACTAATACTGAACGATATAGCAGAAACAAAGCAATACAGCCAGGTAATCGAGAATGGGCTATAGTGATTGTATATATCAATGGTATAAAAGAAAGCATTCCTCTATTTTTAGTGATTAAAGGCAAAAATCATTTTTTGAGTTAGTATACTGAGAATAATCTCCTATTTGATTGAGTGATTAAAGTCACTAATAATGGATGGATAAACAATGAGATAGATTTAGAATGGATTAAATACTTCGATAAGCATACTATTGCTCGAAAACAAGATAGTTATCGAATACTAATATTAGACAGACACAAAAGCTACGAATCGATTGTATTTCAAGAATATTGCAAAGAATACAATATTATAACTCTTTCATTACCTTTTCATTTTTTGTATATTACTCAATCATTCGATATCGAATGTTTTAGTATTTTAAAACGAATGTATGACTAACAAATTGAGGGGTATATTAAGGCTTATATCAATTATATCACCAAGGTCGAATTCCTTATAACCTTCAAAGCAGCATACCTACAATCAATAACTGTTCAAAATGGATTATCTGGATTCCGCGGAGCTGGATTAATACCCTTTGATCCTCAAGCTGTTATTTCTAAGCTAGATATCAAATTACGAACACCTACGCCTACCAGATCCTCCTCTGTAGAGCTCGATCCTTGGG